TTGTAATCATTGTGATAATAACAAAAAAAAAACTGGAGTCCAGGCTTTTAAAAGCTGTTTAATGTCCAGGGGTTGTAAAAACCTCTGTGACCAGACCAAATATTGAATTTTTAGTAAGCTGTAGCTTACTGAGCAGTAACTTTTTAACAACTTGCATACCAAAATGATTTTAATATTTTTCATTTTTGTTGCTTATATGAGGCCTCTGTTTGCAATGTTTCTAAAAATACTTTTAATATATTTTTTTGGGAAATAAACAAATAAATTGACAATTTATGCCAAAAATGCATTTTGATTTGCTTAAAACTGAAGTTTAGGGAATTTTTTGTTTTTAAAAACAGCACCTGGCACAGTAATTGCCATGAATGAAGTGTTCTGGTGGGTGTTGTGTTAGGTTGAAATCATCTGTCCTTTTCCCCACAATATCCCTGCAGTGGTGATCTTTTGGTGCTGTAGGGTTTGACCACTTCCCTCCCAGCCAATGTACATATACGTGTGTGTATGTACAGTATATATAAAAAATACAGATACCTTCCCAGAGTATCACTATGGTGACATTGTGTTAAAAAACATTGCTACAAAAATTATTGTTCCTCCTGCCTATCACCATTTCCTTGACGTTTTCAGTCCATGAAGAGCAGATATTCTCCCTCCGCATCGGGCCTATGACTGTCCCATTGACCTTCTCCCGGGATCTGAGATTCCCTTTGGCCGGATCTTCCCGTTGTCAGAACGGGAGTTGGGCGTTTTGAAGGAGTACATTGATGACAGTCTTCGGAAGGGATTCATCCGTCCTTCCACATCACCGGCCGGGGCTGGAATCTTTTTTTGTGGAGAAAAAAGACCAGTCCCTGAGGCCCTGTGTGGATTATAGGGATCTGAATAAAATCACAGTAAAGAACCGGTATCCCCTTCCCTTAGTCCCTGAATTATTTCTTACAAATGATCTTACAATCTGGTCCGCATACGTGAGGGGGATGAGTGGAAGACAGCTTTTCGCACCCTGTTTGGGCACTTTGAGTACTTAATTATGCCGTTCGGGCTATGTAATGCACTGGCCACGTTTCAACATTTTGTGAACGATATATTTGAGATGTCTTAGATATCTATGTGATCGTGTACTTGGACGACATCCTGATTTTTTCCTTATCTCTGGAGACACATAGAGGTCATGTCAGGAGTGTGCTGGAGCGACTTCGCAAACACGGGCTTTATGCCAAAGCCAAGAAATGTAGCTTTGAGCAGCGCAGTATTCCTTTTCTGGGGCTAATCATTTCCACCAATGGAATGGCTATGGAACCCCAGAAGATCTCTGCGATATTAGAATGGCCAGTTCCCACGGATAAGAAAGGGGTTCAGCGGTTTATTGGCTTTGCCAATTTCTACAGGAAGTTCATTAAGTATTTCTTGGGCCTGGTAACTCCCATCACCCAACTTACGAGAATGGGGGTACGCTTCCAGTGAACACCAGAGGCACAGGCCGCCTTCGAGTCTTTGAAGAAGCTGTTCACGGCAGCTCCCATTCTAAGCCACCCCGACGCATCACTGCCCTACATTCTGGAAGTAGATGCGTCGGAAAATGCAGTAGGAGCAATACTGTCTCAAAGGGTAGGTGTAAAGGAGCTGATGCACCCAGTAGCTTTCTTTTCTAGAAAACTCTCCCCATCAGAAAGAAATTATGATATCGGGGATCAGGAGTTTTTAGCAATCAAGACAGCATTAGAGGAGTGGAGATACCTGTTGGAGGGAGCTTTGCATCCCATCCTGGTCTACGCCGACCATAAAAACTTGGAATACCTGAGGACAGCAAAACGCCTCAGACCGCGTCAAGCCAGATGGGCGTTATTTTTCTCGAGATTCACCCTTCATATAACTTTATCGACCTGAGTCTAAGAATATCAAGCCTGATGCCCTCTCCCGGGTGTTTGAAGACCCTGAAGAAACAGCCAAACCAGATACCATCTTGCCGGCAGGTAGCTTCTTGCTACTACAGTCCGAGCTCCTATCTAGGCTACAGGCTGCTTCCACTGGGGCTCCTAAACCACCTGGAATCTCTTTACAGAGCAGAGAAGGTCTCTTGTGGAGGGGGGAGCAGATCCTGGTACCTAAAGAGACTCGAGCTCTGGTCTTGGGCTATTGCCACGACCACCCATTAACAGGTCACTTTGGGGTACACAAAACCTTGGACTTGGTCCGACGTATGTTTTGGTGGCCAAGCGTGGCGAAGGACTGTGAAATGTACGTCAAGTCCTGTGCTGTCTGCAGCAGGAATAAGCAGGTCGGGACTTAGATTCCGCGCCCTGGGGAATCCTGGTCTGTGGAGCGCTAGAGGCTACCGCCGGACGGTCCATAACACCCTAATTACCACCACACCAGTTACAATGTCCCTTAAAACCACCACAGCAGTCACAGTGTCCCTGATCACCACCACAGCAGTCATTGTGTCACCGTAAGGACTTGTTCACATGTGCGATGCTCTCTGAGCCATCCATGTTCGTATCGCTCTTTAGAGAGCAGTTGACAGGCAGTGAGGAGGCATTGTATCACCTCCTCATCACTTGCTTTAGCCCCTTTGACCAAACACACCACAGCAGTTACAGTGTCCCCAATCACCACCACGGCAGTCAAAGTGTCCCTGATCCCTGCCAAACAGTCCCAGTGTCCCTGATCACCACCACACCAATTGCAGTGTCCCTGATGACCCATACAGCAGTCACAGTGTTCCTAATAACGCCACAACAGTTACATTGTCCCTGATCCCCACCACACCAGTCCCAGTGTCCCTGAACACCACCCACACCAGTTACAGTGTCCCTGATCACTGCCACTCCAGTTACAGTGCCCCTGATCACGCCACATGAGTCCCAGTGTCCCTGATCACCGCCACACCAGTCATATTGTCCCTAATTACCACCACAGCAGTCAGTGTCCCTGATCACCACCACACCAGTTACAGTGTCCCTGATCACCAACACGCCAATCCCAGTGACCCTGATTATCACCACTGCAGTTACAGTGTCCCTGATCACCGCCCACACCTGTTGCCTGAGCAAATCCTTTGCTCGTATGCTGACCATATCTCTGCTTGTGTAGAGACCAATCTGCACATCTGACTATGTTCCTGCAAGACACCAGTCCCGGAAAGCAGAATGTATTTTGGTTGTAATTCTAAGTATGCTTATGCTGTATGTGAGAAATAACTTGATGTGAAAAAAAAATCAGCATTTTCCAAAAACTAGAGGAAAAATATGAAGTCTTCAAAAGACTCATTATGCCTCCTAGAAAATACCTTGGGAAGCTTGCTCTTGTGGATATTTCCACTGTCCTGGTACTTACTATGTAATAGATAGTAAGGAAATGAGATGAATAATTTATGTTCCTAGAAAACCTACAGGTGTTCCTTTGATTCTGGGCCCCATCTGTATGACTAGGCAGTGAAAAAGTCTCACACATGTGGTATCCCCACACTTGGAAGGAGTAACAGAATGTAAAGGATTTTGGGATGTAATTCTAAGTATGCCTATGATGTGAGTTAAAAATATCTTATCAATTAACAAATTAGTGTAACAATTTTAAATTTCTTTCCTGCATTTTTAAAAAATATGTAGCAAAATTAAAAAAAAATAATTCATTATTGCCTCTAAAAAATACCTTGGAGTGTTTGCTTTCAAAAATGGGGTCATTTTGTGGTGTGTCCTGGTGCTCCATAGCCTCCAAAACATGTGATAGGTAGTCAGGAAATCAGATGAGTAATTTACATATAGTTTATGCTTCTTGATAGCTCAAAGGTGCTCCTTGGATTTTGGGCCCCTCTTTGCATCTAGGTTGTAATAAAGTCTCACAAGGTATCCCCGGGGGAATAGCAGAATATGTTCTGGGTGTAAGTATAGGTATGGCTATGCTGTGTTTGAGATATAACTTGTTAAAATGACAACTTTCTGAAAATAATTTTTGTTTAATTTTTTTCATTTTCAAAAAGACTTGTGGGAAAAATTACAACTTCAAAAAACTCACTATAACTCTTACTAAATACCGTGGACTGTCTACTTTCCAAAAAGGGTCCCTTTGGGGGTATCTGTACTGGCATTTTAGGGCCTCATAAAAGACATAGAGATAGGCAATCAGTACATCAGGATTGATCAATTTTCAAATACATATACCATCGTTTGTAGACTATTATTTTTGCCAACTAAATGTACTGGAATATATTCTGTCCTAAATTTACGAAGATAGATTATTTATTTGAAAACTTTTATGCCAGAAACCAAGAAAAACATGTTTCTTTTTCAAAATGTATGGTATTTTTTCTATTATACAGCAATAAATAGATACCACCAAAAGAAAGCTCTGTCTCAAAAAATGCTAAAAATCTCATTTGGGTATAGTGTTGCATGACTGAGTAATTATCATTTAAAGTGTGACATGTAAAAATGGACTTTGGCAGGAAAGAGGTGAAAGGGTCTGGTATTGAGGTGGTTAACCTCCCTAACAGTATGATTATGTCCATATTTCTGTGCTCAAAGCGGTACATTTTTTTGCATGGAAATATGTTTTTTGTTTATTGTAGGCCTGTAATTTTTAGGAATAACTCACTGAAATCTGTCCGAACAAAAGTCTAGTAGACATCCGGTTGGGCTAAAACTTGAAACACGAAATCATAAATTATAATTTAATAAATAATCATAAAAAATAATAATATAATAATACATTTAATTCAATAATATAATCAAACCAAAAACACTGAAATTTGAAATAGAGCACCAAGTTTGCACATCACTGAGCAAAGTCGCAAAATCGTTTTCTGATGACGAATTTCCCCACGAATCATTATGACTAAATTCTGCAAGTGGTTCTGATTTACTATCGCTGTTCTCTAGCTGGTCTAAAACCGCTTTTGACCTAAAGGGACACTTTTTGGACACCATGGACGTTTCTCAGTTTCCAGGCAGAAAGAACAGTAAAAATTGAGGCAGGGCACAGGACAAAGCACTAAGGACAAAATGTATGTGAAATGGTTTGATACAGTAATGTTTTATGTGATTTTGTGATTTTAGTGAATGTCACTTTTTGTCATTTTGAAATTTCCCGCCGTTCCGTCCTACCTACGTCCCGACGCTCGCAGGGGACGGAACCCAGATGACAGATGCCGGCATCCGCCGAATTACATTGCCGGGGACACTGTAGGAGGGACATCGCGGGAGCATAGGACAAGGTAAGTGATCGAGGGATCACAGAGCAGAGCCGCATGGTAAGCCCGAGTGTAGCTCGGGGTTACCGTTTTTGGTACTGAAACTTTACCCCGAGCTACACTCGGGAATACCGCCAGGGAGGTTAATATGAGGGGCTGCAGCTGTTATGGGCACCTGTAATAATAGTTCCCACAATGAAATAGAGGAGGAGGACCTCTCACTCATTCGCCCATACTCTGTTTATAGAGTGCTTTTCATTGCGGAAACCGATAATAAAAGTGCAGGCATAGTTAACTCTTGTTGAGTGCCTGTCACAGCTGAAACTGCTCATATTAACCACTACAACACTGACAGATCACTGCTGCAGGGGTATCCAAGGACAAAGTATTTCAACCTAACACAGCAGCCACCAGCACATAGTTCAAGCCGTGATTTGTCATAATTGTGAGTAATCCATAATCATCACAATTATGACAAATCACGGCTTGAACTATCTTGCTTTGCATGTAATGAGTCTATCTCATATATTAGTTTCACCTTTTAAGTTGCATTACTGAATAAATGAACTTTTGCACGATATTCTAATTTTTCGAGTTCCACCTGTATATATATATATATATATATATATATATATATATATATATATATACACACACTATATTGCCAACAGTATTGGGATACCTCTCCAAATCATTGGATTTAGGTGTTCCAATCACCTCCATGGCCACGGATGTATAAAATCAAGCACCTAGGCATGCAGACTGCTTCTACAAACATCTGTGAAAAAATGGGTCACTCTCAGGAGGTCAGTGAATTCAAGCGTGGTACCGTGATAGGTTGCCACCTGTGCAATAAGTCCATCCATGAAATGTCCTTGCTACTAAATATTCCACGGTCAACTGTTAGTGGTATTATAACAAAGTGGAAGCAACTGGGAACATCCATGAAGTGGTAGGCCACGTAAAATGACAGATCAGGATCAGCGCATGCTGAAGTGCACAGTGTGAAGAAGTCGCCAACTGTCTGCAGCGTCATTAGTTAAAGACCTCCAAACTTTGTGTGGTCTTCAGATTAGCACAACAAAAGTGCATAGAGAGCTCCATGCAATGGGTTTCCATGGCCAATCAGCTGCATCCAAGCCTTACAATCACCAAGTGCAATGCAAAGTGTCGGATACAGTGGTGTAAAGCATGCTGCCACTGGACTCTAAAGCGGTAAAGAGTCCTTTTTTTTTGTTCTCTGGCGTGACAAATCACGCTTCTCCGGCAATCTGATGGACATGTCCAGGTTTGGCGGTTGCCAGGAGAAGAGTATTTGCCTGACTGCACTGTGCCAAGTGTAAAGTTTGGTGGAGGGGATTATGGTGGGGTGTTGCTTTTCAGGGGTTGGCCCTTAGTTCCAGTGAAGGGAACTCTTAAGGCATCAGCATACCAAGACATTTTGGACAATTTCATACTCCCAATTTTGTGGGAACAGTTTGGTAACAGGTCTTCCTTGACACACTCAAACATGGACATCCAACCACATGATGTCCAACCATAAATTACCAAAGTGTGTGCCTAAATATTTTTTTTCACAAGTATTTTTGTCAGGGGCAACATTTTCCCCCACTGCCGTTGGTGCCATATGAGCCATTGGAACAAGATGTCAGCGGTCATAATGTTATGGCTTATAAGTGTATAGGTGAAGATTTTTTGGAAAGTTACATGTACAGTATATTAAACATTTAGAATATTTAATAAAATCTTGATATGGGCTACAGTTTTAAGGTGTACGAAACCTAAAACCAATTAATGTTAACACTGCAGCTTACAATTAGATGTGGGTTTTTTTATGTTTTCTTTCCTTTATTTTTAACTAGAGATGTTGTTTTTCAGAAGAACAGGCTATCTTCACAATCTTCACAATTTATTATTGAACAGGTAAATTACAAACCATTTACCTCTCACAGGGGGTGCTTACATTGATCAGCATTTATTTGTTTACATAAATCCTCTTCCGCTATTAAAAAAAAAGTTTGTAGTAGCTGCATAGTGTTAGCTGTATTTCGGTTTCATATTGTATCACTCTGCTAGTGAGATTATGCTGTTGTGCAATGGTGTCCCTGTGCTCCTTCCTGCATAGTGCAGGCACTCTATACTGGATGTATAGTCATGGTCAGATATAATGGCACCCCTGCATTTCTATCAGATAATGCACCACTTCGCCCCAAAAAATTGTTGCAATTACAAATGTTTAGGCATTCTCATGTTTATTTCTTTTGTTTTTATTGGTATGACACAGGAAAGTGGAGCAGCAAAAAGCCAAAAATCTGACACATTCCATGTAGAATTCCAATAATGGACTGGACAAAATTATTGGCACCTTCTAAAAATGGTAATAAATAATTGCATTCCAAGTCTGTGAATGAAATTTGCTCCTGTAATTTGTAATTAAACTCACCTGTATCAATTAATAGGTGCTGAAAATATAGAAATCACACCAACAACCAGTTAAAATGGTGAAAATTTTACTTTTTGTTGTGTGTCTCTGTGTGTCACATGGAGAAGAGGAGGAGCAGCAACGAATTGTCTGAGGATTTGAGAACAAAAATTGTGGAAAACCATGGACAATCTCAAGGTTACAAGTCCCTGGACTTGGACGAAAGAGAAAAATTGATCAAAGATTGTGTAGCACTACCCCCTTAGGAGTTGCTGAATTATTTTCGGGCTCCCTGTGGCTCTGGAACCCTCTCTGAAAGTCCAACCCCTGTTGATACCACAGTACACTTTTAGCTGGAATAAATTACCAGCAGAAAGGAAACTCACACACACCGATTGAAGAAAACTAATAAGAGGTCTATAGCAAATTTCATTATAGCTTGGTAACACAGCATAAACAGGATTGTCATATGTAAAATCAGTTGTTACTTGTGTAGGTTTGAAATAAGAAAAGACAACACAGAGTCTCAGTTAGTGTTAGGAGGCCTGCTTTCAGAAACTAACCCAATGCCTTCAACCTGAGGTGGTCGTACAGTCCTCAGTGAGCAGCGGGACTTATCAAATGGGTAGACTAGCTCACTTTGGGCCCTCAGGACCTGATGACAAGGAGACAGCTTGAAATAAGGAAAATAGCCCTTTGCCCCATAACAACCAATGCACTTTAAAGGCAGTTAAGAGTCTTTTGAGCTCGTGATGGGGCCCAGTTGGTGCACAGTGATAAGAAGTATGGATTATCATTTTCTGAGGAACTTTGACAAAACTGAGTTTTATAGAACATTTGTTTAGCTCATTACATGAAAGTAAGGTTAATAATATAACTTAGATTAAAAAATATTCCGTTTTACTCAAATTGGTTGATGCAAAAATGAATACATCCTACAATGAAAACTGCTACATTTAGTATTTTGTATGACCACCATGATTTGTAAGGACAGCACCAAGTCTTCTAGGCATGGAATGAACAAGTTGGCGACATATTGCAACATCTATCTTTTTCCATTCTTCAAGAACGACCTCTTTTAGAGCCTGGATGCTGGATGAACAGTGATTCTCAACTTGTCTATTCAGAATTCCCCATAAGTGTTTAAATGGGTTCAGATCAGGAGACAAACTTGGCCACTGAATCACTTTCGCCCTTTTCTTCATCAGAAATGCAACAGTGGCCTTAGATGTGTGTTTTGGATCATTGTCATTTTGGAAAAGTGCACAATGACCAAGGGCACAGACTGATGGTAGCATCTTCTCTTTCAATATAGAGGATTACATCTATGAATTCATGATACCATCAATGAAATGCAGCTCCCCGACACCAGCAGCACTCATGCAGCCCCACAGAAGGACACTGCCACCACCATGTTTTCACTGTAGGCACCATGTATTTTTCTTTGTACTCCTCACCTTTGCCTTGCCATACAGTTTTGAAGCCATCAGTTCCAAAAACATTTATCTTAGTCTCATCACTCCAGAGTACAGAGTCCCAATAGTCTTCTTTTTCAGCATGGGCCCTGGCAAATTCTATGCAGGTTTTTTGTGCATGGGCTTTAGGAGAGGCTTCCTTTGTGGACAACACCCATGCATGCTATTCCTCTGCAGTGTACGCCGTATTGTGTCACGGGAAGCAATCTCCCCAGTTTGGCTTTCTACTTCAACTAACTGCAGTGAACTTTCATGGTGATTTTCTTCAACCCTTCTCACCAGAAGATGCTCCTGTTGAGATGTTAACTTCCATGGATGGCCTGGACATCTCTGTGAGATGGTTGCAGTTCCATCTTTGTTAAATTTTTGTATCACTTTTGCTACAGTATTCTGACTGATAAGTAAAGCTTTGCTGATCTTCTTGTACCCTTTCCTTTCTTGTGTAAAGAAATTATTTTCTTTTTCAGGTCTTGTGACATTTCACTTCCATGTGGTGCCATTGCTGACAGCATGAAATGGGAAGGGGTTTTCTTTGTTAAGCAATGCCCTTTTGTGATCAACTGTCTGCTGGGCACCTGTTTAATGAATAATTAGACTCACCTGTAGTTAAATTCTTGTTAAATAGGATTTTGTTGTCTAAAATTTAGCTTTGCTCCTAAGACTTTCATTGGGGTGTATTAATTTTTGCAACATGGTCTTCAATGAATTTGTTAGGAAAAATACTTTATTGTGTGTGCAAATGAATAAATCTTGTTTGCAATTGTTTCACAATTGTGGGAGTATTTTGTTGTATAGTGTCCCATAGAAAATGTTGATTCTGAAAGTAAAGTAAAGGTTTTCTGACAAATCTGTTGAGGTATACTCATCTATGCTGAACATTGTACATCTAACAAAGAAATTATCCAGGAGGAATAACAATTGGCAAATGTTCATTATTAATTAAGTTGTGCAAGAATGACTCCCACCAAAGATTGAGGTAGCACCATAGGTTTAAAAACCTCTTCAGGGATGGTGTCAGCAGGGGGCTTACAGATTCATGGATATGCTCCAATAAACTGTAAATGGGAGCTTCCAGAACTTTTTGACTAGCATGGAAGGCTTCTTCATTGTTCTCTGCCAACACATCATAGGTCAGTCTCTTAGGCGCCCTTATCTCCCGTCACTCCCTGGGATCCTCTTGGGAGGTGGCATTGTATTTTTCTTCCAAGGTGTCTTCCTCCCCTGCTTTCAATAGTGCCATAGCTTCATC